CACTTCTTCCGGCCTCGTGGTACGTGTTCGAGCCTCGTTTGGCATTTTCGCCGATAATGGCGATGCTGTGTATCTTGCTGTTGATCCTGTCACCTCTTGTCTTGATGGACCGGATACGGCAGCCTCCTGTTTGTGCGTTGAGATAGCACCACTTTTTACTGGTCTTGCTGTCAAGCAGTCTTATATGGAGGATTTTTCGGTGAGAAGATTCAATTTATATACCTACTTTTCTATATTTATCACATAAAGCACTATTTCATGAAGGCATTGCCAGAATCTTTTAATGCAAAGCGGCAACTTTAGTCTTTTCGCGTAGAGTCTGGTCTCAGAGTAGTCCTCCTCCATGCCGTAACACTTTTTGTTAAAAGAGATTTGGAGGCTAGAGAAAGATTGCCTTAGAATTCTGATTGTTGATATGGCCGTATAAATCGTTTCGAGCACACCCATTAACTACCGACAAGTCCATGCTAAACTTTCATTTGTTTCGCTGTTACGTCATTGTCAGAGAGATCAAGGCTGTTTTTGGCAACATTTACGAAATGGGAAGGCAAAACTGGTAACCGCAATTTTGAGTTTATAAAAAACATTAGCTGATTTTGTTCGCTATCATTAAAAGATTCATATATACTAAACAATGTATATTTTTGGTGTTTTGCCTTAATTTTTATGCTATATGTAGCATCCACGAAAATCCCCTTGGACGGTTTTCTCGTTTGCTTTACTGTACAAAAAGTACACTTGTGCCACCATGCGTGTGTTTTGTATTAACCAGTATGACTGTCCAGGTATTATTGTATCAAATTAAGTACCTTCATATGCCTTTTCCTGAGAATATCCTAGAACTAGCCATTCATTTAGGGGGTTATTAAAGATATCCTTTATAGGAGAAGTTCATAACGGGAAACATAGTCTAGAACATTCGAGAAATGTTCAATTGAGATATTCAGTGTCAACATAATAAGACCTCGAAGAACCTTACATAATATGGAAGTGGGTTGACCTCGTTGTCGCAACTTGGTCTTGTTGTCAGGGCGACTTAGTAGAACGCACCTAATCTGAAGCCGTCTGCGACAGTAGTTGTCATGATTCCCAGCATCAAACAGTGGAATTGGTACATTCTCAAACGTTTCGCCGGCATCATAGTCAGCATTATCAGTGAGTTTTGCCATTCTCTGCACCAAGTTACGAACTCGTCGAAAGGAGACTGCGACCATACCAGAGGGCACAACATCTTGGTCTTCATATTCTTACATAATACGGCTCAAATGTTGTACTCCTCATTATAATTGTTTTCTCAAGTCTGTTGCTGGGATTGGCTTCGTGTTTGCATTTATTATTTCAGACTAACCTTTAGGATTTGTTTGCAATATGATTGAGTCAAAACTGCAAATAAAAAGTAAAGTACTTTCATTACTAACTTTGTCCCAAGTCTGACTCTCTTTTTGTACTGCTACCTCTCAATAGAATGTAAAATTAAACCGCATCGTGAAGCCTATTCATATTATTGTGAGAATAAACTCCACTATCATTCCAAATCGTCTTAAGCGACCTAGTGGAAATAGGTTATTATTTAAAAATTACTGCTCATTTAGATATAGATATATTTTTATTTTTATTTTTTTTGGGGAGGGTATTAAATCATCAGCCAATCATCTTATATATATATATATATATAAATTTAATTATTTATTTATTTATTTGTTTATATATATATATATATATATATATAGGATAGTTATTATTTACCATTATTTTTTTCATTGCTTAATGAATTTTGTAATACTAATACGTTGTTTAATAAAAATGTGAAATAATTTTAATTTTCCAGGCTTCTATCCGAACTACTCTTCGTTTACCATATTCAGTGCTTGTTCAGGCTTCCGCCCCAGCCGAAAGCCCAGATCGCCCTGACAACAATCCAATAAGCGCAATCCTAGCCTTACGCACTGATCCCGGGCTGCCCAGCCAGTCGCCCCGCGGTGGAGCCTGCCAATTGTTTATTGGCACCATACAGGGTGGACTGTACACTATCTCTTTGTCCGATCACCGACTGACAGAGAGCTGGTTGGCTGGACGAGAGAATCATTTGTCGCTTCTTCGCACGAAACATTTGTCAGATTCTGGCCAAAAGTGTCAACAGTTGCGGCGCATGGCTTCTTGTGGCGAAATATCTAACGCAAAGGGCAATCAAGTTAGACATTAATTTAATCATTTATATTATATTTTTCTAGCTTACATTAGATTCACTGCTTCCCTATAACAATTGGTTTGTACTTAATACTACTGTTCATTTACTTTCCTTTATTCTGGATTCAGCCGAAAGAACTGTTCTCTTCTCTCCAACGAAGCTGCTCTAACTCATCCCATCAGACCAAGTCGGACAAAGAGGTCCTAGCAGACTTGAAGTACAGATCAGCTGCGCTGCCGCATTCATTTGCCACCATCAGTAGCACTTCCTCGTCGAACCTATCTTCACATTCCTTCTCCACTGGTCCATTATCTTCCTCTTCTTCTTCCTCTTCTTCTTCTTCTTCTTCTTCTTCGTCTTCTTCTTCTTCCGGTCTCTTGTTCTCCTCCATCGCCTCCACCTCTGCTTCTCATCTGCTCTCCTCATCCTCCTCGTTGCTATCTCGACACGGATCAGACTCACTCAGTGTAAGTTCATCTACGCTTAGCGATCAGCCGTCGACATGGCGACGCCTCCTCGGCCATGAACTGCCCTCGCTCGACGCGAAGCATCGTAGCTCCTCGCATCGCGTCTGTCCCTCGGTGTTGGGCCCAGCTGGGGTCACTTGTTTGGCCGCCTGTTCCCAGTTCAGCCTCGTGGCCAGTGGAGATGCCAGAGGTAGAGTGCTTGTTTGGGACTTGAATGCGGCAATTTCGGCGGGAAACGGCGCAGAGTCGGGTCTGTCGTCAAGCGGTCTTCTGTATGCGCTGATCCCGGGTCATGGTTGCTTCCTACCCAGCGGCGGCAGTGGACAGCGCGACGGATCAGACGGCCAGACGGTGGAAGGTGGTGATGAAGAGGCGGCAGGAAAAGAGGAGACGGATACGGAAGAGAGCAGGATCGGTTGTAAAGAAGTGACGAATGATGAGACTGATAGAGACAAGATGAGGCGGACACAAAAAACAGGAGTTTATCGAGCAGATGAGCTTGGTCCGGAGAGCCAGGCGTCATTTGTTGGCGTTTCCAATCACCATTTCACGCTTGAGGCTGGAGAGCAAGATAAAGATGAACCGGCGAGTTGTGGAGACACGGATCAGAGGAGAGGTAATACACCAGAAAGAACCGAAACAGTAGAGCATGAGTCAGCAGCGGGAGGTTCTCGAGAAGCCGGCATTGAATCAGCTGTACTTCAGCCAGTTGATACAAAAAGTTCACTTACTCACAAGGCAAGTATACATAATTCTTAATGTTGGCATACCTTTGCTTTCGTTTGAGAAGACCAGTAGCTTGTCGTCGCCGGACACCGGTGAGAGTTGCCCTAGAATTTTTTCTGTCGAATTGTGCGACGGAGACATCAGCTCATCGTTCTACGACTCCGATGACTCTGTCCCTCATGTGATGGACATCGTCATAGCAAGAAATAAGTATTCACGAATAACCACCAAAAACAATAGACATCACTTTGCCATCTTCATGAGACATTCCATGATTTGGTTGTCTGCTTTGTGCTTGTTCTACATGCGTGTAAGCGAGTGGAAGTGATGTAGGAAGATGCGCGGCTGTGGTCACAACTTTTGTTTATGGAAGTAAAGTGACCTATGACCATGTAATTATGGGACTTGTTTTAGCTTCGTGGATGTATTGCGTTGTGTGTATGCAACACTCATGGGTTGTTTGGCAATTTCGGGTCCGAAAGCCGACTCTTCGAAACCCAGTTTCTATTTTCACATATTTCTTTATCCTGCCCTTCATATTTTAATCATATGCTTTCGGTATTAGGCTCCATTTTGGACTTTGCAGCCCAGTCGAGGCTGGTGTATCAACTCGAAAGTATCCTTTCCAGTTGATCCTTTTTCTGAAAAGGACACCACCAATCAGTGCTGAAACCTTGTTCTCATCCAGGCTTCTCACCGAGACATCTCTTAATTTGCCATATCAGATACTTAACGTGGGAGTGAGAATAGGAAGACATAAAATTTGTATTCGGCTGCTGCTTGTCTCTCTTTCTTAGCACTCTCTTTCTCCCTGACCCCTGCCTCCTAGTCCGCAAACACAACTTTCCACACATACTTCTGTGAATCTTATCCCGGCTGCTTGTCACCGGAATCGTGTAAACAATATCTTTACCGTAGTTAAATTGAAGATGTGAAGACCAAGATGTTGTGGCCTCGGGTATGGTCGCAGTCTCCTT